TAGTTGTAGTTGTAGTCGTAGTTGGAGGAGCAGTTGTAGTTGTAGTGGTTGTTGTTATTGTTGTTGTTGTCGTTGTGGTTGCTGTTGGAGTTGCCGTCGCTGTTGCTGTTGTTGTTGTTGTTGTGGTTGCTGTTGTTGTTGTTGTTGTTGCTGTTGTTGTTGTCGTTGTGGTTGCTGTTGGAGTTGCCGTCGCTGTTGCTGTTGGTGTTGTTGTTGGTGTGGTTGTTGTGCTCAGATCGACTAGAGAAGGCTAGCGGTCAACCCGGCATGGTTTGGGGTTGGTGGGTTGGAGTTGGTCAGTGGTGGTTTGTGCCGTTGGGTTTGGACTTGGTGGGTTGGGGTTGGTCGGTCGCGGTGTGTGCTGGCAGGTATAGAAGTGGTGGGTTGGGGTAGGTCAGTGGTGGATTGTACTGTGGGGTTGGTGGGGTTGGTCAGCGGTAGTTTGTGCGTTTGAGTTTGGGGTTGGTGGGTTGGGATTGGTCGGTCGTGGTTTGCGCTTGCAGGTATGGCATGGGTGGGTTGGGGTAGGCAGTGGTGGTTTGTGCTGTGGGGTTGGTGGGTTGGGGTTGGTCGGTCGTAGTTTGTGCGTCAGGGTTTGGGGTGGGTTGGGATTGGTCATTGGTGGTGTGTGCGTTTGGGTTTGGGGTTGGTGGGTTGGGGTAGGTCGGTTGGAGTTTGCGCTGGAGGGTTTGGGGTTGGTGGGTTGAGATAGTCAGTGGTGGGTTGTGCTTTTGGGTTTGGGGTTGGTGGGTTGGGGTTGGTTGGTCGAGGGTTGTGCTGGAAGGTTTGGGGTTGGTGGTGAGTTGAGATGGTCAGTGGTGGGTTGTGCTTGGTGGGTTGGGGTTGGTTGGTCGAGGGTTGTGCTGGAAGGTTTGGGGTTGGTCGGTCGTGGTTAGTGCTTGCACGCATGGAATTGATTGGTTGGGGTAGGGCCCATCGCAATCGTTGTCGAGTCCTGTGTGCAAGCGAGGTTGGGGTTGGCCGGTCGGCGTTTGGGCTGTCGGGTTTGGGGTTTATGCTTTCGAGTTGGTAGGTCGGTGTTGGGTGTGGCTGGTTTGCGAAGTAAGCTGGTTGCAGGTCCCGTCGCAGTCGTTTTCGCGTCCTGTGTGCAAGCGGGGTAGGGGTTGGCCGGTCGGGGTTTGTGCGGTCGGGTTTGGGGTTTGTGCTTTCGAGTTGGTAGGTCGGTGGTGGGTGTTGCTGGTTTGTGAAGTAAGATGGTTGCGGCTCTGGGTTCTGCTTGGGGTTCGTGCGGTCGGGTTTGGGGTTTGTGCTTTCGAGTTGGTAGGTCGGTGTTGGGTGTTGCTGGTTTGTGAAGTAAGATGGTTGCGGCTCTGGGTTGTGCTTTACGGTTTCGAGTTGGTAGGTCGGTGTTGTGGTCGGTCGTTTGTGGTCTGTGGGCATATCTTGAGGCTTATGTGTGGCACATCTTGGGGGCTATGTCGCCCGGCTTGAGGTCTGTGCCCAGCGCTGGTGAGTGACGTGGCATATTGGTGGCCCAGTTCTTGGAGGGGCCATCGAGGTTGGCCGCATCTAGGAAGCGTGAGTATGAAACCACGCCCATCTTGGGGCTATGTTGGCCCATCTTGCGGCCTATGTTGGCCCATGTTGACCCATCTTGAGCCACAAGATCCGAAAAATGGGAAAAAATTGGAAGAGCACAAAACACCGTAAAACGCGGTAGTTTTTGGCGGGGGGGAGAGGTCGGCGGCTGGGGCGGCGGCCCCTCTCTCCTACGGAGAGGAGAGAATCGCCGCAAGGACACGGCCAGGGGGCCCCTGGCCGGATTAAGGGCTGCCGCCCCTGCCGCCGACCCCGGAAGAATCGGCAATGAATCAAACCAACCTCAATATAATGCATATATCTGAACGGAGTGAATCATAGGGAAACCCGCGACTACTGAGGGTGTCAACGGTTTCTCCCCTGTTAAGCTGCAACCCCACGCTTGCAACAATTGCACAAACGAAAGTGACAGTTCAACAATCATGAGATCTTCTATGCAGTAATTAATTAGGTAGTGCGAACAGTTTGCTGCAATTGTTTCGGACAAAATTGGGTTACATAAACCAAACCTAGGCAATGTTAAAAGTGTTATGCTTTAGGAACACCACATATTTCCAGAAAGCTAAGACGTGACTGAGTCAGACCCAAGACATGGACATGCTGCTGGGCCGCCAAGAGCGCCGGGAAGGGGTTTAAGGGCAGCCTAGGGCGCCGGGAGGGGTTTAAGGCCAGCCCAGTGCCTAACGTCGCTTTCTGAAACCAGGAGAAAATCTCAAAGAAAGCGCCCGGGAGGTGGCCAAAGGACATGCTGCTGGGCCGCCAAGAGCGCCGGGGAGGGGTTTAAGGGCAGCCTAGTGCCTAACGTTGCTTTCTGAAACCAGGAGAAAATTTCAAGGAAAGCGCGCGGCAGGTGGCCAAAGGACATGCTGCTGGGCCGCCAAGAGCGCCGGGAAGGGGTTTAAGGGCAGCCTAGGGCGCCGGGAGGGGTTTAAGGCCAGCCTAGTGCCTAACGTTGCTTTCTGAAACCAGGAGAAAATCTCAAGGAAAGCGCCCGGCAGGTGGCCAAAGGACATGCTGCTGGGCCGCCAAGAGTTTAAGGTCGGCCTAGGGCGCCGGGAGGGGTTTAAGGGCAGCCTAGTGCCTAACGTTGCGTTCTGAAACCAGGAGAAAATTTCAAGGAAAGCGCCCGGCAGGTGGCCAAAGGACAGCCTAGGGCCCGGCAGGTGCTTTCTGAAACCAGAGAAAATTCAAGGAAAGCGCCGGCAAGTGGCCAAAGGACATGCTGCTGGGCCGCCAAGAGCGCCGGGAAGGGTTTAAGGGCAGCTTAGGGCGCCGGGAGGGGTTTAAGGCCAGCCTAGTGCCTAACGTTGCTTTCTGAAACCAGGAGAAAATCTCAAGGAAAGCGCCCGGCAGGTGGCCAAAGGACATGCTGCTGGGCCGCAAAGAGCGCCGGGGGTTTAAGGGCAGCCTAGGGCGCCGGGAGGGGTTTAAGGCCAGCCCAGAACGTCGCTTTCTGAAACCAGGAGAAAATCTCAAGGAAAGCGGCCGGCAGGTGGCCAAAGGACATGCTGCTGGGCCGCCAAGAGCGCCGGGAAGGGGTTTAAGGGCAGCCTAGGGCGCCGGGAGGGGTTTAAGGCCAGCCTAACGTTGCTTTCTGAAACCAGGAGAAAATCTCAAGGAAAGCGCCCGGCAGGTGGCCAAAGGACATGCTGCTGGGCCGCCAAGAACGCCGGGAAGGGGTTTAAGGGCAGCCTAGGGCGCCAGGAGGGGTTTAAGGCCAGCCCAGTGCCTAACGTCGCTTTCTGAAACCAGGAGAAAATTTCAAGGAAAGCGCCCGGCAGGTGGCCAAAGGACATGCTGCTGGGCCGCCAAGAGCGCCGGGAAGGGGTTTAAGGGCAGCCTAGGGCGCCGGGAGGGGTTTAAGGCTAGCCTAGTGCCTAACGTTGCTTTCTGAAACCAGGAGAAAATCTCAAGGAAAGCGCCCGGCAGGTGGCCAAAGGACATGCTGCTGGGCCGCCAAGAGCGCCGGGAAGGGTTTTAAGGGCAGCCTAGGTCGCCGGGAGGGGTTTAAGGCCAGCCCAGTGCCTAACGTCGCTTTCTGAAACCAGGAGAAAATCTCAAGGAAAGCGCCCGGCAGGTGGCCAAAGGACATGCTGCTGGGCCGCCAACAGCGCCGGGAAGGGGTTTAAGGGCAGCCTAGGCGCCGGGAGAGGTTAAGGGCAGCCTAGTGCCTAACGTTGCTTTCTGAAACCAAGAGAAAATCTCAAGGAAAGCGCCCGGCAGGTGGCCAAAGGACATGCTGCTGGGCCGCCAAGAGCGCCGGGAAGGGTTTAAGGGCAGCCTTGGGCGCCGGGAGGGGTTTAAGGCCAGCCCAGTGCCTAACGTCGCTTTCTGAAACTCAACCCCCTGCTTTCTGAAACCAGGAGAAAATCTCAAGGAAAGCGCCCGGCAGGTGGCCAAAGGACATGCTGCTGGGCCGCCAAGAGCGCCGGGAAGGGGTTTAAGGGCAGCCTAGGGCGCCGGGAGGGGTTTAAGGCCAGCCCAGTGCCTAACGTCGCTTTCTGAAACCAACAGAAAATTTCAAGGAAAGCGCCAGGCAGGTGGCCAAAGGACATGCTGCTGGGCCGCCAAGAGCGCCGGGAAGGGGTTTAAGGGCAGCCTAGGGCGCCGGGAGGGGTTTAAGGCCAGCCCAGTGCCTAACGTCGCTTTCTGAAACCAGGAGAAAATCTCAAGGAAAGCGCCCGGCAGGTGGCCAAAGGACATGCTGCTGGGCCGCCAAGAGCGCCGGGAAGGGGTTTAAGGGCAGCCTAGGGCGCCGGGAGGGGTTTAAGGCCAGCCCAGTGCCTAACGTCGCTTTCTGAAACCAACAGAAAATTTCAAGGAAAGCGCCAGGCAGGTGGCCAAAGGACATGCTGCTGGGCCGCCAAGAGCGCCGGGAAGGGGTTTAAGGGCAGCCTAGGGCGCCTTGAGGGGTTTAAGGCCAGCCCAGTGCCTAACGTCGCTTTCTGAAACCAACAGAAAATCTCAAGGAAAGCGCCAGGCAGGTGGCCAAAGAACATGCTGCTGAAAGGCCAAAGAACATGCTGCAAAGCCACTTTTTCTTGGGCGCGCTCCCCCTGCAGATGGCTGGGGTCGGCGGATATCCTCTTGTTCTACTGTATGTGTTTCTAGTTGCCAGTTGTGAATACACCCATTATAGATCATTATAGTGGTATTCATCATGGGACGCTATCATGCTATACACTTCCAAGCTTGTTGTTCCGCCTTCTCCTTGCTGACCATCCCCATTCCTGTTGGGATATGTGCTACATGATCTACATTCATATATCATATTAATATAAACCTATATATTACTATCAAAATTATATAGGATTATATATATATATATATAACACATATATATATATACTATGCTATATATATATATATACATATATATATATTATGTATATATATATATATATTACATACATAACACAATGATCACAATGCTGTCCCAG